AAGCACCAAATTAAAAATTTGAACCATATGAAAAATACCAAGAAATAATAATAATAATAATAGTCAAAGATAAAAGGAAAAAAATGCAGCAGTAGAAATTGAAATTGTAGTTACCATAATAAGCTTGAAGCCAGAAGTGATAAAAATGATGACAAGTATTTTAAAAACAATTGGATCCGTGAAACACATTTGAAAATAAGTTTCACAGGCATAGGACTGAGGAACTACTTTTCTTCATCCTTGGCATAAGCTCTGTAATGCAAAAACCCTGTGAACAAGGCATCTTTTCTACAGCAACCAGTCCTTGCTTTGTATGATTCTCTTAGCAGCCTGTCAGCAAGGAAGCTCCCTGTGTGCCTGCTCTCTTCTGTTTCTCTCTCTCTCTCTCTCTCTCTCTCTCTCTCTCTCTCTCTCACACAAACACACAAAAACAAATTTGTATTTAGATTCTGCATATGAAAAAAAATGTGATATTTGTCTTTCTTTTTCCCAATAATTTTTAGCTAAACTGCTCTGTGGTAATCAATGTTCTCCAAGGATGACACACAAGTGGTTCGTTCAGTTTGTGGTTTATTCAAAGGGCACATTGTCACTTGCTCCCTGCTGTGATGTTGCACTTCCTTCCTGGGGATGGACAACTGCCCACTTGGGATGGACCACTGTCCCCTGGCCCCTCTACAGTTGGTGGCACAATTTAAATTACTATCTTACTAAGTTTTTCTTCTGTTTTCTAGCCACAATCTCTAGTCCTTTTCCATTCTCTAACACACACACACACACACACACACACACACACACACATTTTCCTAACACTTTTACCCTTTACTAAACTCCCTTGACATGAACCAGGAACTGTTCTTTAGTGTGCCTAACAGTACAGGAGTTGTTTTGATGGAAATCACAATGACTAAGAATTAATGGTTCAAAGAGCACAAATCTGAATGGGAAGAGCTAATAGGTAAATTTGCTGAGCACTTACATCCTAGGTACTTCATACTTATCACTTCAGTTCATTATCTCAGTGATGTAATGAGGTGGTTACTATGTTTTAATCCTCACTCTACTGATGAAGTTCAGTGAGGTTAAATAACTTGCCAGAGAGTTATACCACTCAAGTGTAGTGTGATATACTACAGCACATGGCTAAATTGCTGTAAGTGGAGAATTCTACTAGTACATGTAGACCTGTGACTAGAAGCAGGTTTATAAATAATAGCCATTAATATCTTACAGGATGCAATATGATGTAACTGGAAAAAGACAGGCAGTAAAACCTTGTTCTTAGCCATTACGTTGTTCTAAAAGCATCATGACGTCATTGAAAAAAAGTTTTGTTTTGAATAGGAGAGAGTTGAGATAAATTCCTGGGAATTTTCTGGTCCTCACTATATGATCCTGGGCAGTTCTTAACTGAAGAAGCCTCTCTAAGCTTTCCATGATGCTGCTCCATTCAGTGTGTAGTTCTTCATGACTCTAAAGGCACATACGAGGCTCAAGTTCTATTAATCCTCTCTGGGTTCCCAGCCATGCTCTCTTCTGTCTTAAGCCTTGAAGATTCTGCTTCCTCTAGAATGCTGCAGTGTCTGTCTTTTGTGCTTGCTCAGAGAAGCTGTTCTCTGGGTCTCAATGGTAAATATAGCATCTCCTTGCTTATTCTTTGACAATGTTTTAATATTTTTCATTCCCAGCACAAAAATGACATTTTTACATATATTGCCATAGTTTATAACTTGTAGTCTACCAGCAGTCTACAAACTATGGCCTATTAGACAAATCCAGCTCATCTTTGTTCTTGTCAATAAAGCTTTATTAAAGATCGAAACATGTTTATTTACATGTTCTGTATGGCTGTATTCAAACTACAAAGGCAGACGCTGAGGTAGAGATGCTATAACTCATAAAGCAAAAATTATTTGCAAACTTGTCAATTATACAACCCTTTGCTCACCCCTGTGATAAGCAAAAATTCAGATGAGATTCTTATTCACCAGTGAATACTTACTGTCAGGCATAGTGCAGTCAAATAAAACTTGTTGATTTAATAAGTAAATAACGTTCAGTTATAAGATTACTAAGGATTAAATGGAGTAATCTACATGTCAATCTTAGGAAATAATTGGTAGTTACTTGTGTCAAGTTGTCTGAAAATATCTGTAAGATGAATTAACAATGCATGTATTTGTTTAATATATTTACTTGAAAAACTTATTTCAATTATAAATCTGTTTTTATGAACTTGGAAACTGAAAAATAGTAAACTACAAAAAAGAGGTTAATTTTTATCCTTCATAAACTATTTTATTTTTTTTAACTTGGATTTCTGATTTTTGTTTTGTTTTGTTTTTGACAGGCTCTCCCTAGTCCCAGCCCATCTGGAAGTCATGATGTAGACCATGCTGACCTCCATCTCATAGAGATCTGCTTACCTATGCCTTCCAAGGGCTGGGATAACTAGGATCTTTGAATTTTAGCTCTTGTCTAATTGCATTAAAATATATAATAAAGACAAAATACAGTGTAAACAGCTATGCTGTCTTAAGCTAGTTTTATTTCTTTATGAAATATAATGTATCCAATTAGTTCTGTAGCTTCTCATTCTATACTTTAGGCCAACATTTCTTTTTCTGCTGGAAGCACACACTATTCCATATATAGCTAAATGCAAAAATTCATTGGCAGAGGAGACGCTACTGCTTGTAAGAAGAGATGATAGGGAGCCATTGCTTAAGGTTCACTAGACCATCCGAAACAGCAGCTTCAAAAAAAGCCAAGCTGCTAACGTTTTTCTTTTCAACATGCGAACACACAATTTAAAGAAAACCCAGGTTAGGGATACCTCCATACACATTACTATGAATGATAACCCTTTAAAACTGCCAAAAGTTAACTTATACAGTCACTGAAACACAGCTTAAAACATGGCAATTTTCATTTTTACTAATCCACTTTAGCAGTACTGAATTAAGAGGCTTACTATACATACAGAGGAAAAGAAAATAGAACCTAAACTCTACAGAATAAAAGAATTCATCCTTAGTAGTTTGGAAGAAGTCAAACTAAGCTGAATTCAAACACTTTTTCACCTTCCTAAAATTGTTTTGACCTCTAATATGGGTAAGAGTAATAATAAGTATAGATCGATGCAACTGTATATGAGCTTTCAAACTCATTATCTCAAAGTATGATGCAAAAATTCTGTCCCTATACATGTTCTCTTTCCTTATAAAGCATAATAAAAGCCTATGAACACAACTCACAAAATTTTTCTTCTATGTTTTTAAATGAAAAGAAGTTATAATGAATCCCATGAAGCTAAAATTAGGTCATATTATTAATAAAGTGTAAATGCTAATTTATGTAATTTGTTAACTGTAATGAAAACAAGTTGTAGTTGAAATAACAAGGTCTAAGTAGTCAGTGGTATATGATGTTCAATCTTTCAGCCTCAATTTCAGTTTCAAACTATATATCAATGAAAAACAGTGCTTTAACACTGAAGCAGTTATTGCTTTTTGTCTTGACCTATGTAGCAATGGTCAATTCACCTGAAAACACTGAAGGAATCCCTCATAAATCTTAGTATTATCCATTCTTTAACTCAATGCTTAGCCCAAAGCCATTCAAGTCCTGTGTACGTTAACATACAAAATAACATAATATGAGAAAGTATAATATTTACATTTTTATATATATGTATGTTCACTCATACACTGTGATGGCCACAGAAGCCAGAAAAGGGCACTGGATTCCCAGGAATTGGAATTAAGGACAGTGATTAGCTGCCATAAGGGTGCTGGGAACCAAACCCCAGGTCGTCTATAAGAGCAGTCGGTGCTCTTAACTCCTGACTCATCTCTCCAGGCCAAGAAAGTATAATCTTAAAAACCTAGATCTTAGTTCTTAGAGGCTTAGTGACTTTGATGTAATAAATATTTCTATTCATTATAATTTATATATGTAACAACATTGTGGTTTTAAAAATGAATCTATTCATATGTCATAAGAGGATAAACAGGACCTCAGGGAAGATGAGGGTCTGTATTTGGGGGAATTATAGGCTGCTGGGCTACTCCCCCAGGCCACTGCTAGCTCTGTACAGCATAAATGGTTAGAGACAAAACTCTCCTCTCTCTCACTGTCCACATGCAACAGTGGGCATCCAGGTTCACTGTGATTCCCCTCAAGGATTGTTATTTGAGATTGAACAGTGGGATGTGTCCAAACCACATTGCCACCCTAACGAAGCCTATCTGAATTAGAACAAGTGAGTCAGATTACAGGCACTCACAATGTATAAGTCTTTACTGCGGGATTGAACATTTGGATGTGTGAAGTACTCATAATTGATTATGTCATATAGACATTATCACTGGAATTGTGGCAAAAATTATAACACCATCTGCCTCCCTGTTTACAAAATTTAGAAAATAATATGAGTTAACTGAAAGCTCTTGCCTATATGTTTTATGTTACTAATATCGTATGTGGGTGTTGTCTTTGTTGTTGTTGTCAGTAAAATCTTGAAATGTTTTGGATATATTTCAAACTCTCCTTTGTGGTGAAAAGAAAGCTAGTTTTAAGGGGATATTTAGCCTATATTATAAACTTCTAAATAGATGACCACGAAAGGCCTAGTTCCCATGAATATAAGAATATCTTTGTTTGGTGATGCGTGCAGTGTGGCAATTCTATGCTTATTAACTCCTAATTATCAAGCCATTTATGTCCCACAAGTACAGCTCCCATTAGAATTCCTGAGGCAGTAAAAAGCGAACATCATGAATCTTTAAAACCTGTTTATAACAGTTAAGGTGATTTTCTTTCCCTATTTGCTTGTAAGAGACTTTTGACACGTAAAATAGTTACATTTTAATTCACAGAACTTCTTTTAATGGAGGTTTACAAGTTCAAAATGTTTTCAGTACCTTTAACATATCTGGGGAAGATGTAATAAATACTCGATGTAAATAATGATACCAAGGGAAGTTTACCCTACTCACCTGTCTGTTACGTTCATCCATAATCCTCGTAATCTGAATCTTTTTTCTCCCCATAGTCCCCGTTTTTCTTCTCTCTCTCGTCCCTGAAATTATGTATTTTTTCCTTCCTTTTCTTTCTCTTTCCTGTTTCCTTCAAACAAGTTTCCTTCTTCAGCACGTGCTCGACTCAGTTCCCAAATTCCTGCATTCGTTCCTGCTGAACAAAATGAAAAATGAAACAACACTTTCATGGCAAGCAAGTTTCTTAAGAAAGATCATATTCTTACTTCAATAAGGAAATAAACTGCATGAAAGTAAAGCGATAAAATGAATGAAAATGACTACTTGTTATAGAAACATGGCATATCGTATGTAGGAACATACCAGGAAGGGATGGCTTGGTTTTTTATAGTTAAAACAACCTCATCAGTAATTTAAGAAGTCATTTAAATGAGGAAGATTATGCTTTGAAACCCAATGCTTGAAATGAACTGTATTTTTTTTCTAGAGCATTTCTTAATACTTTTAATGAAATTAGATGACAATTTTCACCCTTCTGTTATGAAAAATTACCTAAATCAAGGAGTTAATGAACCTTTATGTACCTGTGTGTGCTAAGTAGGGCAGCTAATTCACTTCTGAAGGAAAACAATCTTGTGTTTTGACAGTAGAGGTGATAACGTCCCTAGTTATGCAAATAGGATGGACGATTATGAAGGTGCTATTTGATATATGGAAATGTCAACTAATTTAAAACTAAATCCTTTAATCTTATTTTGAGATCACTGCCACAAGAACACAGTAAAAGTAAAATAGGATATTTCATCTTCCATTACAAGCATCTGTCAGCGTGAGAACTTTTCCTTTTGCAAGCTCTTATACTGTATGTTAAAACAATCATAAAAAGATGATCATTGATAAGAAATAAATGGTACAAAAATTAAGATTATTATCTCATTTGTTACTCTATTTTTAATAATAAGTCATCAGTCCTCTAAATTTAAATGTTTAAAAGAGACATATCATATGTCTTTAGGGAGTCAGATACAAAATTACAGAAGCTTGATATTATATACCAGAGAGCTCTAGGTCATGAATTAAAATTAAAATAATGATTATCAATTACATGGCAAACCCAAGGAGCGCAGAATATTAAAGTCTTCACTGTGTTTAAAATATATCTTAAAATATTTGAACAGAGTGCAAGTGACCCGCTATGAAATGTGGACGTTAACAAGAAAGCATCCCACCATGTTTGCTTCACATGCAAGGAACAGCTTCAATTATTCTATCTCCTCCTTGTCACTGGATACAACTACTTTATACACTGCTCAAAATTTCCCTGTTTACTCTAGTTGGTGTCTGACAGCCAGTGGACCTGATAAATTCCCACATGTATTATATAACGCTAAGCCACTGTCCTGGCTATATAATAGATGATTTGGCTTGAGTTCAAGGATCTTGGAACAGGAATACTGTTAGATACTTGGTCTGATACTCAACTGTCTTTAAATTTCTAAATTCTTTGTCACCTTGAATACATTTTTTCAATGTAAGTTTCGGTGATTATCTGACTGCAGAAGCTATTATAATACAATTAGTTCTGGTGGATTAAGCACTGCTTAAGCACTAAGACCATCCTTCCCTTTGCCCAGTATCTTTCTATTAAACTGGAGCTCAGTTCTGCCTCTCAGGAAATATATGAGTTACATATGATCACACTGTGCTTATCAAAGATTATTATTCCAACTGTATTTATAAATGTTAGAAGCACTTCAAAAGTTTTTAAAAGTTTCATAAACAACATATATTAACAACATAAAATACTGACAACATAAAAATATTTGCTATAAGATGTATAAAAATCCCATACACAAAAAGCCCACAAAGCACAATAGCATCACACAGTCATTCAATGCTGCTGAACTGCCCACCTATCTATTTTTAGAAATAGTCTTAAATATCACCCAACTGGGAACCTTTCCTGTATTTCCAATAGTCTTACCTCAGAAGCAAGCAGAACACTAGAATGGTATTTCCCATGCACATGCAAGACCCCCGAAGAGACAACCAGGCTTTCCTCTCTCACAGGAAAACAATCCATGAATCCTCAGTAAAAGCATTTGGGAGGATTCCCTTCCCTTCAGTAAGCGAAGGCCAGTGGCACTATCGGCTTACAGGACGATGCCTAAGCGCTTATTCACTTTAAGTGGAAGGTCAGGGTGAACAGATTAGAGTGGAGGGACAAGGCAGACAGGGAGAGAATGTCTATAGATCTTGGTTCAAAATGTATATAACCAAGTAAGTAGGGTCACATCCCTGGAAAAAAGTCTCCTCAGAAAGACAGTGAGCTCCTGATCACCCAATTCTATGGCACCACTCAGAATTTTCCAACTTTGAAACAACACACACTTTTTAGAAGGAGCAGAGCAAAGTTCTTTTTCTTAATTCTTAAAACACAATAGGAAACATTTTTCTAGAAATACATGTGTGAATATGGTTAGATGTACATATATGTACATTCATATAAAATAACTAAAAATGCCATTGGATATATTCCTTCTGATATATGCCAGGTAATGGAGAGAGACATAAATTTAAATCTGAACAGAATTAGACTTTTTTTTCTGTCTAGTGAGCATTTTTAAAGCATTGTTTTGTGAACGTTTCCAAAATGCAAAGTAAGAACACTGTGATGCTGTGACTGTAAAATGAAATATGCCTAAAACCGGCGCCTGAACATTTGATTCTGTTCACCACACCTCAAGGCATTCAGAAAAAATTCAAAGAATTAAGAAGGTCAGCAATAGCTCATAACTTTCTTTTTTAGTACAACTATTTCTCTAATCTGATATTTACACAAAATGTACTGTAAGGTTTGTTTAAGTTATTAATTTGCAGGAGGGCTAGAGAGGTAGTGAAAGAGATTATATCACCTTAGTAACCTGTTAAACTGTCTTGTGCATACATGAAAGAAAGAATATAATAACCAAACTACATATAGTAGAATTCACATCATACTGAAAACTTTCATTGCATATAATCAAACATAGGCTTAAAATAATTCCTGCAGTCTGGCCACTGCATTTTTCCACATGAAAGGGCCATTCTTGGAAAATGACGCCTACATATAAACAATCAATAATTTAAAAAGGAGAAAAAGAAGGAATAGAAATGCTTGACTATAGTTACACTCTATAGAGTTATAACCTTCTGCATTTTTTTTTTCTTTTGTCAACTTAAATTAAAAAAAAAAGTAAAATCAGGCTGCTTACTAAAAAGGGGAACTTCATTATGGCAGGCTTCTGTTCACTTTGAGTTTGGCATAAGCATCCAGATGAAGGCCAAGTGGTTTGAGGCCAGAGTGCAGAAGAATTTCTTTGGACAGATGCTAAAGATCACTCTCCCACTGCCTCTCTCATTTACAAACAGGCTGCCTTGATTGACAGGCACCTCCCCCTCCCTTCTCTCACTATTTCTTGCCCTCTTCCTCCCTCCCTCCTTTCAACAAATCCCTCCCAGTAACACAGAAGAATCTTGACAGAATGGCAGGAAACACGCACAGACTGGTCAGGGAAGGATATGATGTCAGCAGCCACGAACAATAAAAGGTGTAAAGGTGCTTCCTTCCCTAAACTGTTCCAGAAGTGTAAAATGGGAACCAAAACTCTCCACTTCCTTCTCTGAGCAGAACCGGCTGAGTGTGCCCTGCAGCACACCCCACACACAGGCCTTGTAGAGGTTCAGATAAGGGGCAATAGGGAAAGGCAGACTGGAGGCACAGTTTCTTAATCTCTATCTTTAAAATACCTGAGAAAGACAGCCATTTCAGCCTAGGTTAATGTTTTGTTGTGATTTACTTCAAGAAGTAAAACTATGAAAACAAGTAAATCTAAGTTGACTTTGGTGGGACAACAGCAAATAAATCTCAGTTATCATCTACACGCCTTACAAAAATCATCCTACCCAGTAAATGTAGCAATATACTTTGAATTTACTCTTTGAAGCAAATGAAGATTTCTATACAAGCAGAGAAGCAAAACACATGATTTACAACTTTCAGAAAAGAACCGAATCATGATGGCACTATAGAAAAGTGTTTGTTGGCAAAATGCAATGATTACCTATTTACTCCCATATTGGAAAAAAGTAGATCCACTAGTGAGAAATAAATTCTTATTTATTGAGGCTCTCAAAGTTCTTTAAAAAAAAATCAAGCTAGAAATCAAAACAACTAATGTAAACTTTCAGTCTATAGGGAAACAATTTTAATCTCATCACTGCTTGGCTCTTTCTAACATAGAAATAGAAGTCTACCCTAAGGTTTCTGTAGTAAGAAAACCATGTAGCAATTGGATCTTAGTCACTGTCAGATTTTAATCTTTTCCCCACAATACTTTGATTTAGAATTAAACATAAACTTCAGTTACATGTTTTTATCTTAGAGTGAAATCACAGGCCACATAAAAAGATGTGGAAAAAAATTAATTCTCTGCTGTTAAAATTGCCTTTTTAAGCATGTATATTGCTATAATAAGTACAATGCAGTCACTTAAATAAAAACAACCTATGAACAAGGATAAAACATTAGAATATGTAATGTCAATTTGCAAGGAAAGAATTCTGCTTTTCTTTTATTCATATTGGCAAATAACATTTTCATTGACTTACATTTGCATCAACATTAGCATCTTCATAAAATGTTTTTCTGTAAAACTTAAGGCTGTAAATTAGGCACAGTGTATCACACAAGAAATAACACTGTTAAATAAATATAAGCTCAATGCATATTAAGAAACAAAAATGACTGTAAGCCCATCTCTGCAAGCCTGGTGGTATTATGGATTCAAGCAATTCAGTGTTTAGCTATCATTTTAAGTGGAAAACTTTGCTCATTACATTGCATTTAAATACATTTAACTTTCTACTTTATGGTTTGTTTGAAAGACATGAGGCATGCAATTATACTTTGGTTAAAAAGAATAAGCAGAACATACCTATTTTCCCTTAAGAGCTATTCTGAACTTCAAATGAAATAACCCAATTATTATTCTTAGCAGTGCTTGACTATGTGATGAACAGTGTTTCCCTGGTCCCTAAATCCACACCATTTTTCCTCTAAGTTTACCATGTATTTTAAGAATGTTATATTATCCTAGTTAGGAGTGTAGTTAATTTTAAAGTCACTTAGCCATAGTTCATCCTTTTAGGAATATA